CCCCCCCCCCCCCCCCCCCCCCCCCCCCCGCCCCGAACAACCCAAAGCGTCTGCATCAAACAGAAGTGGCTCGGGGACAATGGCCCAGGTTATCAACCAGCGAGTTTCGAAAGACTTTCCTGCTTTGAAAACAGGCGAAAAACACAGACTCGGGTCGCCGTACCGACGGAATAAAATTGGAGTCTGTCGCCGCGGTGTGTGCTTTGGGGACACTTTCCCATCCATGTAAAAACAGCGATGACAAATGCAGTGTATATCCTAGATCGTTGGTGAAAACATGTGGATGGGACTACAATCTAGGCGACGGCGAAAGAAAACACTGTCGGCGGAAGGTACAGTAGTAGGCGGCGAACCAAACGCATGCACAACAGATACCCTGCCCCCCAGCGATACGCTTCTTTTCTTAAAAAGCTGTCTTCTACTGTGGCAACAGCGCCATACTGCGTAAACGTTCCCTAGTATGACTAAGGTCTCTCTTGCTACAGCTAGCTACGAGTGTACGTTACAACCCACGGTTGTTCACAGTGCGGGTCGCAACGCTGCCTGCCCTTGTTCTACTTTTGTGGCACATTTTTTTTCACATTCCAAACTGGACGGAGCCAGCCGACGACAAACGACCTTGTGGTCTGGTCTAGAAAATACGCGTGCGTGGCGCTGAATAAGGCTCCCTTCTCCCCCTTCCTCAAGCAGCGCGCACGGAGAGCGGGTCCAAACGCTTCCTTCCGCGAAAACACACACAAAAAACACACTTCACAAAAAAATCTGGCGTCCTTCTCATGGGTCAGCCGGTTAGCAAGGTCGAAGCAAAATTAAGACAAGAGGAGCAAAAACGACCGAACCAAAAAACGTTGAAAAGAGAACAACATCGAACGAACCAAAAAACAGAACAGAACATCCAATGACAAATAGCAACAGTGAAGCCGATAGCCGAGGCACCCACCAGACCAAACACATTCATCAAAGATTGAAATAGACAACAAAATATATATATATATCGGCGACACGGGAGAGTTGGTACACCTCCCGAGACGCTAGGCGCAGCTGATCGCAGCCCGACCCGCTCACTTCCACCAACCACCCCAAGCAAGCACTACCAACCAGTCAAGTCTCCGCAAAGGCGAGACCGAGTAGTTAAGCTCATGTTCCGGAAACAAAAACAAACAAGCCTCCCGCGGCGACAACAGACTAAACGCGCCATGGTTCTTCCTCTCCGAATCGCACACACAAACACATACCCGTGATGGGTGTCCTTTCGTGCAACCTGTGATGATGATGGCAAAGCGCCAAGGATCATTGGTCGCGACCGCTGTCGAAGTCGGGGTTATTCGCGAAGCGAAAGTTAAGTCACTTGGATCTTTCCGAACATACCGAGGCTTTCCCCTTTGGCACAAAAGCTTTTTTCTTGCCCGCGACACGCCCTACGACATATAAAATAAAAGGAAAGGAAAGGAAAAACGAAATCAGGAACAAGGCAACCTGCTTTGCGCCCAATGCCGCGACGACATGCATAAGCAATTGACATACATGTGCGGCAACATTGAACGAAATTTTAACGAAAAACAAACCCACCGGTGAAGACGTATGTGGTAGCATTGAAACAGGCGTCGCTCCAACAACAACATATAGACACGTGCAGTAGATGCCGCTGTGCCCCTACAACTGGTGTGGGCGCATCTCTATATTTTTCAACTTGCGCCCACAACCCCAAAACCCCAAATCCGCCGCTAATCTGCTAATTGCAAGTAGTCTACTTCTCCGCCGGAAAAAAAGGACAAACAAAAACACACGAACACAGTGGCGATTTCAAGGATAAAAACGGAGCGTCCTCGCCTCCCACGGAGTTACCCACCTCGTGCCTTTGATCAACTCCGAAAATCGCATCAAGCCGACCGCTTACTACGCTCGTCAGTCAAGATTCAACAACCCAGAGACAAAAATGTTATCATCTACTCTCGCCCCCCCCC